TCATTGTACTCTATCGTGTAAGCTGTCCAGAATTACTTTATCAAATTTGCTAGAATATGATGGATATTATTCATGAGAAGACCATTATCATGTTACTATAAAACGATCAGTTATTGCTTAGTTCAATTACATCCAAATCATAAAGATGGAAATAGCAACGATATATATTAAGTTTAACCATTTGGGCGCCAGCCGAAAATATTTGATATCTTTATAACTAATATCAATCCAGATCAGTCTGTCCGTTCAAAAATACAATAGATTAGTCAATTCAAACAATCAATGAATAATTTCAAAATATATTATCATGGGCTTTAATCTTAAGTCCAACACATTGTACTTTTTTATTCATGCATAGTTAGTTGTTTGCTAACGCAAGAGGTATAAAGTTTTTACATATATAAATGGTGTTTTGTACAATGTTTAGGAATTTCGATTGGAAAAAATACATACAATATTAAGTGCTTGATTTGAAATCACAGCTGTGAGGGTTGAGCGATTTGTAGTCAATCACTTGACAACTCCGCCCCCGACGCCCTATACAACTTAACACTACAGGAACAATAATTATATCTGCATTGCTGGGTTGCAGTATTCGCTTGTCCTTTAAATAATCGGCTAATGATAGAAAGTGGCATTGTAATGTCCTGATAGAGTTTATACAAACATCCCAATTAAAGTAAATATTCAAAAAATTGAAAGTTTTTTCTTCGTTTAAGAAACCCCAAAAAACATGTTGTTTGTGCATAAACTACAGCTTGTTAATCATGCTTTTTATTTATTACATCATGTGTCATATTAAATTAGAGATATTAAATCATTTTTTCAACAAAAATACATGATCATAATATTCTGCTAAAAAAGTCAGAAACTATGATATGAAATTGATTTCATACTTTTGTCTTCGGCTGCAGCTAAGTGAAATAATCTATATTCTAACATAACTTGGTCCAATACATCTCACTGGTTACCAATATATTATTGATAATGCACTAAGGGATTATAAAGCATTTTATGATGTAGTATTTAGTATTTAAACCATTCGTTGTTTAAATGATTTCTTTCTTTTCCCGAAAATTATCATATATTTAATGCGATGGAATAAATGTATTCCATTTCAAGATGGTTTATTTAATTTCCTCATTCTCGTCTTATAACAAGTAGCACTTTTCTATGATCTGATTACTTGTGAAAGCACATTACATTCTATATTACTGTTTTTCTTTAATATCTAAGTTATCTACATTTTTACTTATAAGTGTGGTTAGTCTGAAAACTCTTTAGAAACAACTAGATAGAAATAACAAAAAAAAACACAACAATTTTTGAAATAACACATATTTTCAAAGCAAGAAATACATAATGATACCAAATTGAAAAAGAAATCCATAATATACAAAAATTATGATGCCTCTGATTCTTAAGGTGTAGATAAAGTTCTTGTATAGCATAATAACATGTTAGAAATAATACAAAAGGCCCTATAAAACATTTATCTTTTTGAATTATTATAAATAAAATAGTTTTTAAAATCAATCAGATTTAATAGTTTGTTTTTATCAATATGTAAAACTCGACTTCACTAATTTTACTTAAACTTACATGATGAAACATACCGTTAAAATAAAGAATTCCACTTAACATTGAAGGAGTATTAGGCTTTTCAGTATTATCTTTGGTAATGCATTTTCTACAGAATTTGCAAAATAATAATAATTATGCAAAAAGTTGAGTTCCATGATATATGTTTTATATTGCACATTATTTGTTATCTTATATTCATAAAAAAAGATAAAAGTATGTTACCAAGATGTCATCTCGAATGACATTGAGCTATAACATTAAACATCATATTCCCTATTTTACTTTTCATAAAATGTAACGTCGTATAAAGGCATAACTAATTGAATTTAAATATTTTATTGCTTTTGTAAATTTTAACCAATTTACACTCAGAATTTGCACTCAAAGAGAATTACTCTTAAACCTTTTTATTCATATTTTAATTCATTATTCATCACCACATGAGCATATCTGTACTAAATATCCTCAAGAGAATGAATTTAATAGAGAGTAAGGAAATTCAGACTCAAATTGAATAGAATATTAAAAATTCATCATTTAAATTTATATAATCATAGGTGTATAGTTCTTTGACATCTGATACCTTTAAACTGAAACATGAAATTACGGTAATTCACATTGATGTTACAATCTAAAGGGCGTTCATCCTCATATAAATTGCAGATAGAAAAGTCATTGTAAAGCGACAATTATACAACATATATATACATTGTCAAGTTGCACACATTGCATTCGATACTCATAGTGCAAATTAAATGGCAAATAATAATATTTTTTGCGTGTATAGTAATGATTATAAGCATTAAAGTTTTATAAATTGCGGTCCATCATTTTGCTATATAAATGTACTGCAAAACGTGTCCTACAAATAATTCATAAGTCACAGACATTTGCCATTTCTTATGTTGCTTTCCTTTATGTTGATGACTAGGCGTAAGCTTATAAATGTGTTCGTCCGTTCGAAAAATAAAAAGAAGTCGTTTATTTTTTCACAAATTTTAATTATACATCTGTTTGTGGAATGATCTTAACAAAAATAAAGAATTGAATTTACAAAAGAAATCATGGTGCCAATAAATATACTTGATGAATGCGAATTTTATGTTTGTGGTATTTTAAGGGGTTTTATAAATGTTTTGCTGGGTCGAATATCATTAACAATATTTTGACCGATTTAGACTTGTATTTTGACGTCTGTCTGTGCTATGCATATTTGTTAACCTCCACCTCTTTTGAAAATTCTATTTTTATTTAGCTCCGTTAACTGTTTTCTCGTTTAAGCCACATGTACCCTTTAACTTCGTGACCATAGACCGCTTTTAATGGAATGACACGAACGGGTCAATGTCGTATGAGGAATATGTGGATGTATTCAAACTTAAATATGTCATCAGTGTCGTCATGTGTTTAATACTTCATAAGCCGGTGCTAGGGTGTCATGGACACTTACACATGTCCCTTAACAATGTCAAAAAAACTGAGGTGCCACATTTAAATCTTTGTCGTTAAGGCACTATTTTTGGGATATCTTTTATTTTGTAATGACACATTTTGTAAAATAATCAAAACATGTTGCATCATATTAATATAACTAGGTACACAGGTTTTAAATAATAATAAAATATGAGGACTGTTGAAACAATCATTTTCAATATTATTATGCATGTATTGATAAAATATAACATTTTGTGTTTCATTCAGGGATAACTATACATAATTATTTCTTAGATCTTTTTCATGCATAACGTAGATTACTAGCATTATAACTTGAGATTAGAATCAAACATTGTTCTATTATTGTATAATTCCTCTAACAATTAACCTTGAAATTCTAGAATGCGCAATCATAAACCATTTTCGCAATGGTAACATTAAATAAACAATAATAATTTGTTTGCTTGTATCAATTTCAAGGCCAGGTCGAAGTCCGATTGTTTACCATATATTTGTGATTGCTTGATTGCTCTTTGCCAGGATTAAGTTCAGCATCATATTATAATATTGTCATACAATGACAGAGTTAAATGCCAACATCTTTAGGAATCTTTAGCCTCGTGGGTAAGGTAACTATCTCAATCAAACTGAGCCTGCAACATTTTCAATTTAGCCGTTTTGGATGTCTCTAAGGAAACGCTTATTAAACACATGTACAGCCTATTTCAAACGAGACACAGAATAATATTATTTAAATTTGAAAAAAAAAAGAATTGTACTGATTTCTTTTAAAGTATGGCTCCATTTATTTACTAACCTTGTCCTTTTTTTATAAAAGACTATCAATTAATTTATCAGTCCAGACCTTTAAGTGATAAAAAAGAAAACTTGCTTTTTTAGGAAACAGATGCTGCATCGATCAGTCAACAGTGCTCCTGTTTTAGTTAATTGAGCGGGATTGACTTCAAAACCTTTTTTTTCATTTTCACTTCTTTGGTAAACAAGGCTGCTTTCCCATTCTAATGTTCTCCATGGTTTTACATTCGTTTTCATCATACATGTACTTACAATAAATGTTTATATAGACATTGAGTGGCAAACAATTTTGGATAATTATATGAACATGACCACTTCGGTAATGGTAATAACCTTTCTTTTCGGACCTTTTGAAAGCCATCTTGCCTAATAAGTGTGTCATTCTTCATTCAACAACAAAAAAAGAAAGAAATATTTAAAATGTTCTTTTTAACAAACATTTTGGAAACATTACACCTGTAGTTGTAAGAGAATATGTTTTACTGGTGTTCTGTTAGTTAACGTTATACAAATTTTGTAATAAAAAATATTTCTTTAGTTTAAGAATCAAAAGAAACATCCACTTGGCACTACAATATGGAAGAGTTTCAACTAAAATGATAAAGTGATATTGCTAAGAAATGTTTTGGCATGGTTTCTGATTGTTGTATTGTCCTTCTTTACTGGACAGAAACTGTCTAGATAATCAAAGCGAGACAAACATATTTTATCGTTACGTTCACTCCAAATATAAGATACAAGGGATGAGATTTTGGCTTTTTGACAAATGTGAATGTTGTTACACACAATATTTTTTGTACGGGGAGTTAAGTCTGAAACTTAAAGAGTACTTCACTACCTTATGTTTGTTAGTAATGAAGATAGTTTTATCATAATGATTGATATACATCATGGCTGCCTAAATATTTTTACATCACAGAGAAAAGTACAAAAAAGCAAACATTTATAAATGAATTATTAACCTTTAGTAGACAAGTAGACAAAAGTATTCAAATTTAATTTAGAAATTTATATTTATAAGATAAATGCAGAGCAAACTGTTTGGACATCTAGCAAGATGTTCACCATTATGCAACAAGTTGACACAGGTTTAAATGTTTGCACGTGAATTTTACAAGCGTACACCACCACGACGAATATCGTTAATAAACAACAAATACCAAATGTACGGTAGATAAATTTATATGGAAACATGTCTTAACATTCATCATAACATCATAAACATCAATAAACAACTTTTACTTTTTACATTCGTAACATCAGGTCATGAATAAATCAAACGTATAGTACACAGTTTCAAAGTTAACATCATAGAACAAACATTATATTTGATGTCAGATAAATCAAATTTATTATAGGAACACAAAATAAATGGTTTACATAACATAATTAAATATTTTTTAAATGCGCAACTTGCATTACGTTGTGATTCAAAGAGTTCTATTGAACTAACTTACCATCTTATATTATGCTTCGATATTCGATATTTGAAAACAACTGATAATTACTGTAAAATCTCTTTTGAAATGTTAAATAAACATCTTTTGAATACAAACAGAAAATATAATATGTTATGTATTTTACTATACTCACTACAGGTAATCACAGTATAATTACATAGTGTCATTAAAAAACTAGCAGTTCTCATAAAAATATACCAAATTAATTTGACAAGTAACAGGGAATCAACACAGTTTCCCAAACAAAATTTATACATTCACTAATTAGACAGGTTCTGGAGGAGTTTAGCAGATTTCAATACATTTATGCAATAACAGTAATTTGCCCAAAGATGAGCATTGTATATCTCTAAAGATAACATAAATAAAACTTAATTCAAAGCCAATTAAAATCTATCACATGATTCGCATTTACTTGTATTCACAATATCATCTAACCGTTATAATCCTCTTGTTTGACTGACATCTACATTAAGAAGTTTAACTCAAATATGCTTGTATAAATCTGCTAAAATTGGAAATAAATGCATTAATATTGACTGTTTAAATCACTTTTCTGTGTGATTGTATAAATACCGCCTTTAAAATGTCTTTACATGACAAAAGGTGAATAATTGCAAATTCCTATTTTAGTTTGTAACATGTATCATACCTTTAATAGTATGTTAAATATACGAGTATTCGTACTTAGTTCACAAATGAAGAGTAGTTTTATCAAACAGCATTACGAAGGCTTTATAAAGTTGTAACAGTTATTTGAACACATTTATTCAAATTGGAATAAAATTTACAATTTGCTTATGATACATTATAAAAAAAAAAACATTGCACACACGTACAGCTTGCAGGAATCATACCTTTTTCATTTCTAAACATAATTTATCTATTAAAGTTATAATCCAAAGTGGTACGTGCAGACTTCAATTTTTGAAAATATTTAAACTTTTTTAAAGTCATGGTATTTGTTATATTGTATAACGGTAAACGTTAAAGATATATTATGCTCAAATTTGATAACTGATAACTGCTAATCTACAGTTTCTTTTTTTAATGTAAAATAAACTTATTTTGAGTACACACAAGAGAAGATATGTTACGTTTTAAACTCTACACATAATATGCACATACAGTATGAATACAGAGTGTCATTAAAAGATCTTCCATTTATTTTAAGAAAGAACTAAATTAACTTGACAAGTAATAGGACATGAAGCTTCCCAAACTTAGTGTGTGTGTTCTTTTATTAAAATTTGACTTATTCAGTTAGAATGTTCTAGATTTTAATATTTCTTTTGCAATAAAAGTATTTTTGCCTAAAGACGAGCATAGTAAATCTTTAACTAAAGAAATCTAGACTATTAAGACAATTATTACAAATACATTACTTTTAAACGGTAACTTTGACATTTCATATGGTGAAAACTGATGGCGAGAACTCCATGCTTAACTTTGAATGCCAAATAATCATTTAAATAAAGTAATCAGTAGCTTATCAAATATAAGTGTTAGAAGATATTTTATTTCTAAAAAAATATACAACGTATAAACATCCTATTATTACGTAATAAAATACTTCTTACGTTATGGTAATATACCTAAGTAAGAAAACAAAAAATACATGTTCATATTGATTTACTCAAACATTTTCTCACTATCGACATTGATTGACGAATATTCTCTAATAAAAGTGGTGGTCGGGTAACGGAAACTGAAAATTTAGAACCATTATTTTAATATGTGCAATGCATGGTTCTGTGCTTTTAAATGTATAATCTTAACCTAAATAATGATTTTTAAAAGATTATTCATTTCACTCACTTTCAACAAAAACACCACATTTCCTTGACTATACTGAATTCTATTTGGTATGTGGGATCAAGCTTTAGTTCCTCAAGGAAGCGTTGAACCTCCGTCATCCACGAAATGGCTTAATTAAATCGAGTCTGTAGCATTTGCCTTGTTTCTGTTTAGTACTGGTCAATAAAATCACTGGCATCATACTTAAAGTTAGTCATTAATGCATGTATAAAGTAACAAATCACATGACAACCTATTTTACAAAAGTATTTTCATGTATCATGAATATTGTATAATATGTTTATTATACTTAAAAGTTCATTAATATAATGATTCATTGTTTTTTGCTTTAATTTTTTAAAAAGAAGTCTTAAAATGTTTTCAAAACTTTTTAATGGATTAAAACTTTCCCTATTTCTACAACATGATAATTGAGCAACAGCGAAATGACTTGGTCCAGTAAATCTCCGCTGGGTCAATATTTCTTGTCATCATCTATATTGTCGATGTCAATTGAAATGTCCATAGAGCTGAAATTGTAAACATGCCATTTAACCATTCAATGTTGAAAATATAGAATAAAAAACAAATGATGACACTAATGGCATAGATTTGTTATTGTTTTTGTCTAATATACATGTATATAAAAGATACATTTATACAATGCTCTTGTGGAAATACTATTAAAGACATGACAGGGCACCTTAAAGTGTAACAGTTTGATATTAATTATAGCACATTTAATTAAAACACATATATGTAATTGCAAAATCATTTACATAATCAATCATCTATATATAATATATAGATAGGAACCTTTTTTTAAAGTGTTTATTTAAAAATGTCAATATTAAATACATTCGTATTTCTAAAGCATCGTTCTGCAAAACGGATTAAAAATACAGGTTTATATTCGAAAACTATGTATTGATTTTTCATCAGAAAACAATCATAAAAAATATATAAGCAATCTTAAAGGATTATGTTCCAAAAATAAATATAGGTAATATAAGGTTTAGTTTTAACTATATGAAAAGAATGATAAGCCGTTTCCAAAAAAATATATATATAAAGAAGAATGAACAATTTTATAAGCAAGCTAGTATATGCAAACAGCAGAAAGCGGCAATAAAAATGTTTATAGACAAAACAAATGAAAGCAGTAAGTGCATGATGTAAAAGGTCCGTAACAATATATGTCAACCAATTTAACATTATGATTTTAAGATTGAAAAGGAAGCAGAAAAAGGAACCATGTCTTAAAATAAAAATGGAGAAGTTATACTATGTGAGAGAATATAAAACTGTGCTTTGAAAGATCCATACTTTAGTCTTGTAGGTTGATGGCTATTTAAAGAATGAAACATGTTTTATTTATATTTGTCTGCATACATTTTTTTTCTTTTTCTTTATTTTCAAAATATGCGTCTTCGTGTGTTTTTAACAAAAAAGGGTAAGTCATTAGATTTGATTTACCTAAATGTTGGCCAGCAACACAAATATTCTCATTAACAGGGATTACAATGAACCTGTGTATCAATAGCTTAAAAAAAATATAAAACTCCGGCAACTCGTGTAATATAACTTGACAGGTGGTTAATGACAACAACTTTAATCATGTACCACCTCAAACCTTTAACTGTTACTTTATCTGACAAACCCTTTGACTCTATCTGATACATATTTGAGTGTATAATACACCTCAATTTTAAAATTATGCATATTAGATGGAACCAGATTATCTTATCTCACGAAAGTGTGAATATTTGTAAACTTGTGTATAAAGTGTAGATGTCAGAAAAAGCCGACATAAGGTTTGTTGTTCTTAAAAAGTATTGACAGTTTTATTAAACATCCTAAGAAATCGTTTCATAATTCAATGATTTCGTTAATTTTGATGTCAAAAAAATAATGAAACTCATTCTTACCCTGTCTCTCCTTGTGCCAATGGTGCTGAAGTGTGTACAAAGGGCACTTGATTGTCTTTCAATAACTGCGGTGATTTGTGAGTGGGGCTATGATGTGAATTGTGAGAATGTTGACTTTGATGGGATTGGGACGTGTTTCTATGACGTGAATTGTGATGGGAATGATTACGTGAGGAATGTGTAGATGACTGTGAAGATGATCTGTGTCTATTTGTTCCACTGTTATGCCGTCCTGACCTTTGGTTTGGTGTATTCGGGGCACTTGAGGTGTGTCCATCATGACCAGAAGGAGAACTACCATGTGAGCGAACGCTGGAGTATGGTGATTTGGCGTTTCTTTCATTTGAAATGGTAGGAACTGTTGCCTAAATAATATAGTACACATGGTTAATGAGGTATTCGTATCACGAATATTCATTTGCAAGTAAACATAGTATGCATATGGAACTATTATACCATCACCTAGTGCAGTAACGGAATAAGGCCTTCTGATTTTAATAGTTATTACAGTTATTACACTATGGTGATGATATGTTCTCAACAAAGTTTATATAAATCAGATGTAACCTTATTTCATTCATAGAACTTATACTTTCAGACGAAAAATACATTCGAATATCAATTAGAAATTCTATGACATTTAGTGGAAATAATCTTATTATCCAATTATTACGCAATATATCGTTGAAATGTAATTATTTAAGACAAGATGAGACAAAAGATCATAATACAACAATGCTTAGGATTGTTAAAGCTTAATTCTTTAGAAAACGACAATACACCCTATATGATATTTAAGTTGCTAAAAAGATATAAACAAGTTATTCCTTTTTTCAAACAATGTGTTTTTAGTTTTGAGTATATCGCTTCATTAAGGTGCGAGTTGTTTTATTTGACGATAAAATATGACAATGATTATACTTTCTGGAATATTCAAGAGCGATAACCCGAATGTTCATTAGTTTTGTGTTTTATGTTTAATTACAGTAATTCTTAATTTTGTGATAGCAAGACTTTTACAGTTGGAATCATTGCAATACGATCTGTTGTCATTTTGTTAATTGGAAATCACATCAAATCAGATTTGATTACAAGTGATGCTAGTCTGACACGCAAGATCGATAAAATCATCCATCTAGTTTGTTTTACACTGTAATAAGAGGATTCGTATGTTGTTGTTTTTTTTCAGAAATCACTACCACAAGTTCAGTCACAAATATAAGCCTAGATAAAACATATATAAATTGTAGCCCCAAAACCTTTAATGAATCATAAAGAATGCACACCGGTGTAATTTTACCTGCATCTAATCAATAATTGGCAAAATGGATGCATATAATGCACTGTGTGTTTGTAATGAAATCAAAAGCAATTTTTGTTGCATATGAAATAAATTCTCTACCAAGAAAATTTCAAATATTATACAAATTCTGTGATAAAATATATACAAATTCTTCGAAATATATACACTAATTCAACTTTACTCTTTTGTTTTCTTAAACACGTTTTGCTACTGTATAGCTATAGTGTAATACATCTTATACAATTTCGTTTAGAACTTCTAACATTCTTTCTAATACATTTTTTTAAGATATCACATAATTTACAATTTCTTTTGTATAATATCAATATTTAACAGTTATTTGACTTAATAAGAAATTCATATCATTGCTACAAGAAATAAATTGCGCAGTAAAGTCAATGCAGTATATACGTATATACGTAAGAGTTTATTCCTAAGTCTTTTGTAGGAAGACTTTTAATGGAATATGGTAATTTTGAAAGTGGTCTGCCAATTCTTGATAGGGAGATTTGACGTTTTTCTCATATAACTGTCTTTGTTCAAACAATATAAGATGGCGTGTCTTTTCGAAGCAGATCACAACCGACGGAAATTAATTACAAGGCGTCATAGGCCAGACATGCAGATTGGCTATATGCATGTGATTTTTCTATGTCTCTTGCCAAATCAAGAATTCAATATAAAAATCCAAATCAAATGAAAAAGAATGTCATGCAATATCCTTTTATATGAATTTGATATGAACTATACATGTTATTTAATAAAAAAAGTTTTACTGAAAGTGTTGTTTACAATAATAACAAAAAAACATATTTAATCACGTGACAACATTAAGATTTATATTAGATATAAATAAAAATGATCATAACAAATACACAGAGGCACTTTTCACGCATCTACAACATAAGGTACATTAACAATAGCTTGAACGCAATGAAAAGGATAGTTTGACACTGCTTTTTTATATTGGTTATTCAATTAGTCACAAAAAGTAGTTACAGTCAGTTATAACATTGAACTTCAGTGTCGAAATATCAGAAATTTGAATGAACCTAATATTTGTCATGTGTGATCCATGATTATCATGGTTGAAAACAAATATAACTTACTCACGATGTTCTTGCTTTTTAATTCAACGGGAAATGAGACCAGAACTCAATTTATCAATTTATAGAATTTACGTTTCATTTAAATGTAAAAAAAAATATTTTGATAGATAATCTCTTGAAATAAGCAAAATTATTTTTAGTTCTGTTTTTAAAAGTACATAATATTTTCTATCTTTACTGTAAAGCACCTTCTGTCTTTACTGTAAAGTACCGAAAAGTTGCCTCTAGCTCAGACCATAAAATGATGAAAATTTACAAACATTTATGTAATTGAGAGATACAGTGCAGAATAAAATGAAACTAAATCATGTGTTTGTTTTCAGGACTGAGACTAGACAAAATAAATCCCCATGAAGTTTCCCTGATTATACAGACGATTATTGATGTAGATTATAATTGAGCCGCGTCACGACAAAACCAACGTTATGCGTTTGCGACCAGCATGGATCCAGACCAGCCTGCACATCCGCGCAGTCTGATCAGGATCCATGCTGTTCGCTATCAGTTTCTCTACTTGTAATAGGGTTTGTAAGCGAACAGCATAGATCCTGGTCAGACTGCGCGGCTGCGCAGGCTGGTCTGGATCCATGCTGGTCGCAAACACATAACGTTGGTTTTGTCATGACGCGGCTCAATTGTGATCCATCATACAAACAAATGTTTAGAGAGATACAGTATTTGTTATGTCTGCAGACCTTGATTGAGCAAATAATTCCAGAAATCAATTCAGACATATTTGCTAGTGATAAAGAATAAGAAAATCACTGATAAAAAAACCAAAAAACCAAAGCATTATCTTGATATTAGGATTTCAAATATAAAGATAAAAATGTGACAGCTATGTTGAATATTGAACATTATTTCATCATATTGATATGAAGAATCATGTGATTCTAATGATTGCAGTGATAAAAGACATGTTTTCAAGAAAAACGTGACAATACGTAACTTCTTTCTTATCTTTAAATGTCAAGAAAGAGAACAAAATGATCCTACGCACACGCGACTATTTAACAGGCAATATAATTTGCATATATAATAAAAAATGAAAACGTGAAACTTTCAGCTAAATAGAGTTGTCTATAGGAGATTTATAAGTATACAAACTACCACAACATATCAAACATTATACAGATTTTTACCTGCAACGGGTCAGATTGCTCTGTCTTTTCTTTGGTTTTCTTATGTTTCTAAAATCCGATGACAAATAATGATAATTGAGTACGAATATTAGATACTTTTCCCCTTATTATTATTTATTTTTCAAAATTGTTCATCCTAAATCTCATGATATCTCTTCAATAAATCTATCTGCTAAAGCTGTTTTCAGCATGCAGAGGATTGCCAAAGAATGGTTTTTATATACATTAATTTCAACACTTTCATAATATTCAGTAATTTATTTTATGCTTTTCAGTGGATTACTGATTTATCCGTGAAAATTATATTTGGTAATTTCACAGTGAAAATTATCAAAATATAATTTCACTCTTTTCAATGACGAAACTACTTTTTCAAGATATTCCCCATGTGGTACCTCAATTTTATTTTTGCTGACAATTCTAACAATGTCAGGCTGTTTAAAGAAAAAGCAAAGCTGATATTGATAAATAACTTAAATGTCAAAAGTAATAAAAACTTTAAAAAAGAAGAAAACTTACTTCTATTCATTCAAATTCCAATCACCAAATTTCGTCTCTTAATTTTTTTGTTCTGAAAAATACATTCCTTCCCCCATGCAAAACTGCTCTTGATGACATTTGGGCATATTAAAGTATCCTACGAGCAATAACTGCCGTATGCTTTATAAAAAATTGAAAAGCATTGACCAGCCATCACTCGAAGAATAAGTAAAAAAACCCAGCGTTCTTGAGCAAGCTTCCAAGTTTTCCATTTTCCTAGCTCCTTTTCTGAATGTTTTCACATCTGTCAACACTTATTTTTTGTCTGTTACAATCCTCAAATAAGTTTTCTTTCTTTTAAAAAGGTGTATGACTAACAAATCCAAATTATATCCCTCTGAATCTTACACAATTATTTTCCTCCCATGAAATACACAACTTTAAAAAATGGCTGCCGCTTACAATTTACAAAGCCAGGTCTAATATAAATTCGCAGTAAGTAACAGAAATATGGATGGATGGTTGGACTTTTCTCCTACAAGAATTGTATGTTTTTATTATTAAAACAAGCGATCATTCATATTTTTTTAATAAAATGAATAAATATCACCGTCATTTAATGTTGATTGGCGGACTTATTTTTCAGCTCAAGACTTCTTGTTTATAATGAGAAATTCCGACTAAATGGGGCTCTCCATGGGGGAAACAGTTTTAACATTAACGTTAAAATTATGGAAATTTCGTTTTAACTTGTTTTTAAGCATAAAATAAAACGAAAATTTGTCTGTTTGTTGTGTAAGATGTAATTTTATTTCATCTCGTGAACTTTAAAAACAGTATTCTCACTCGTGGCTACGCCACTCGTGAGAATACTGTTTTTAAAGCCCACTCGATGAAATAAAATTTCATCTTACACACAAACAAACAAATATCCTCTATATCTTGTCAGTCTGTCTCTTCGCTCATGTCAATGAATAAAATGAGCCGCGTCACGATAAAACCAACATAGTGCGTTTGCGACCAGCATGGATCCAGACCAGCCTGCGCATCCGCGCAGTCTGATCAGGATCCATGCTGTTCGCTATCAGTTTCTCTACTTGTTGGTAAGCGAACAGCATGGATCCTGATCAGACTGCGCGGATGTGCAGGCTGGTCTGGATCCATGCTGGTCGCAAACGCACTATGTTGGTTTTGTCGTGACGCGGCTCAAATATATTCGAAATTAATTCAAAAGCTGTAATAAACATAACAGAAATGAAATCAAACGAATCATGTGCAACAAACTTCAGTCGGTGTTGTCGTATGATTATGTTTTAAAAGGAAGCATCGGTTTGGGAAAATGCGAATAAGCTATGTTGCCTCCCGTTTTTGATTTTATTTTAAAAAATTGAAATATCATTACAAAACAGGTATTAATAAAGATATTCAGTCATCCATAGCTTCCGTTTGAAATTATCATACTTGTGTAGTTGCAGTGAGTGATATTTTGTTTACCATGTTGTCATCACATATATCTAACAGCACCATGGGATAGACGTTTCCTTTATCAAACTGCCGAAATAATTCATTTGTTAAGACTGATTTTTTACTTCTCGACAAACATCCAATAAAAATGAACTTTGTTTAACAAGATATGAAATACCGCAATAAAAGTTACATACGTCTATATTTATACGTTATTTAATTGATGAACATCGTTTAGGTTGTAGATGTAGATTCATCAAGTGTTAATAAATACATTTGAAAAGCTTCAATCAAATGTTATGCTGAAAGGACATATATTACATTTATATGAAATATTGCACATGATAAAAAAATATATGCATCAAAATCATATTCATTACAGATTTTAGTCGATAACGAACCTTATTTGTTTCGTTTGCAAAAGAAGTAAAATATTATAACATGGTAAAAAATAACCACATATATATATATACATGTATAATAAATAGTAATGAAATTAAATAGTGGTCGCTTGTTTCTTCAGTTTATTATCATAAACTTTATTAAGTTTATTCGTCGTACATTTCAAACAAATTAATACGAGTAATACTTACACGTGCGCGAGTTGAGCTAACGGGGCTCTGTACACCCCAACAACAATAATATATCCCTGAAGCACATATCAAACAAACTCCACATGCCAAACTTGCAGGTCCAATAAATTTGTACAGTCTAAAAACAGAAAATAAAACACACAAATAATTATATACTTTATTAACTAGTTATTAAATAATGCTCAATGAAAATAATTTCATTGTAAAGTATTGTAAAGATTTAAGAATTGAATATTCTTCAAAACTGCATAGTCAGTGTTGAAAAAAAACCTTATGGATTCTTTATATCTTAGATTTCAAGATATATTATAGATCAATTTTGCAGTAAGAATATATTTGTCAAGGATGAGCAAACATTTCATGGAAAGTTATCAACAGATTTTATCAAGAATTTCGCATAAAAGACGTACAATACGAGTATTTAGCCAAGTAAAGTTACATTTGCAAGCCTAACAAACATCAACAGATAAACACAACAGTGCTTGATATATAAGCAGACACAAATGCAGTTAAATACGACACTGACAATTATTTATGTTGATAAAAACAGTTTTAACTCTAAAAAAACATCATCTCTCTTTTAACATTGTTTATCGGATTTTATATCACCACGTACATTCTCTTTGTCCCAGAAAATATATGAGCCGTGTCATGACAAACCAACATAATGGGTTTGCGACCAGCATGGATCCAGACCAGCCTGCGCATCCGCGCAGTCTGATCAGGATCCATGCTGTTCGCTATCAGTCTCTCTACTTGTAATAGAGTTGGTAAGCGAACAGCATGGATCCTGATCAGACTGCGCGAAGGCGCAGGCTGGTCTGGATCCATGCTGGTCGCAAACGCACTATGTTGGTTTTGTCGTGACGCGGCTCATATCAAGTAGCCGTAAGCAGCCTTGCACAATCAATATCTCATTATCTTGAAATCTGTTTTCCTGGAGTAATATTTCAGTGTGACAAAGACATATGTAGAGTCTGTCGGTTGAATCAATATTTATGAAGATTATTATTCAGGTCATCTTTTTATCTTATGATATCGATTTATATCGATCCTAATCAAGCTTAACCTTGACCTTTAACCGGCAAATCAAACAGCTTCAGCTAGATGTATAATGGCAAATTTATGGCAAAGTATCATCAAAATATTCAGCATGAGATTACTACTGTTAAGAATTTATTTATTTATAAGTTCGATATGCTATATGCTTATTGAATGCGTTCCTGGAACCAACCGGTACTTTTCAATATGTATAAAGTTTCTTGCTCATGGGACAGCGGCTTGCTCCTGACTGGGTCTGCACCCACAAGACAAGCATTCGTCAGATTACTACTCCGACGTATAAGCCACTAATAACAACTTATTATCTTTTCTGTGAACATTCTATGGATAATCTTAAGTGATATATGGCTAGTTTTGGACAACCACAACAAGCAATTATTTCAATCAGATTATCATGTGAATTTGAAACTGTCTATGTTAATATCATAATCATCATGTTAATATTATACATCTACCATTTGTAATTAATATCAGATTTAATATAATATATAATTCTGGTATAAACATATGTGAACAAATATACAATGTCAAATTTAGCTTCTGAATAATATATTACATTGTATATGAAAACGCTTATAATCACTGTAGGCATAGATGAAACACTTTGTAATTCATAGGGAAAATACAAGGTATATTTAGACGACTGCCTTATTTACATAATAAGCGATACGATATGAACTTAAATGTCGCTTCGCATTGTCGAGTGTCGTTTTAGATTGTCACGTGTTGTTGTCTGAGATTGTCGCGTGTCGTTTGATAATGTCACTGTCGCATTTGCAGGGTCGACACACGACAATGCGAAGTGACATCGCGACAATGCGAAGTGACATAGCAACAATGCGATACGACACTCGACAATAGGCGACATTTTTAAGTAGATATTGTCGTTTGAGATTGTCGCCGTCGTTTGCGATTGTTGGGTGTCAATTCGGTATATTTCTATGTCATTTCGCGTTGTCGTTTGTCGACCATGCAAACGCGACGACGACATAATGAATGGCCTCAACAGGATTCCGTAACATATAGACTGGATGAAACACTTTTACAGGTTTAACTTAAGTCATGCGTAGTAAGAAATAGTAACATAATTTAGGAAGTATATACTAGTATGTTAATTATCATATTATATTCAAGTCAAATAAGAAATTATTTATTGTTATGTTATTTCGTATGCAATATTGAAATATAGTTCAATACATTATGCACATTATAGTCCTCTGTAAGTTGATAATATAACATTAGACATGTGAGTGTCACATAATATTACGGCAGCGGCTTTTATATCATAAATTAGAAATATTTCTAGCAGATTGTATTGCAATGTAGTATATTGCAAACACAATCGTTTATACACGGCTATAAAATCTGTTTGAGGATTTAAAATGTTCTTCATAAACTATATGAGTATAGATTATAGTTAACTTCAATGTCACGATTTTTCAATGAAATTCGACCATATGATCGTGCAGTATTATATTAACTTGATTAAGAATAGAAAACATATAAAAAGCTTTAATAGTAATAATTAAACAGTGATGTAACATAATAGTTTTGAGACATTTCTGTTGAAAATGTGTCAGAGTTAAATCATATACATACATATACATGCACAGTGCGTTAACTGGAGTGCAGGTATTAGTTACCCGCACTCCAGGGCATGCCCATTGATTGGTTCATTTTTGCTGGGGTTTACATTTTGTGACGGAAGAGAAAGGGAAAGCGACAATAATATCATATTCAGATGCTCGTTTATTGGTTACTTTTTCCCGGGGTTTCATATTGTGACAACAGGGAACGTGTTTTGATGTTTGACTATGATACAAAAGAGAAAGAACATCAAAGCACGAGGCAATCTGATTAATACTACGTCCCCTCGTACAAATCAGATAGCCTCGTGTTTCGATGCTCTTTCTATTACTTAAGTTATTCAAAACGTCTATTTATATATTATTTATACATAATTGGTTAAAATACTAAATATATAAAGATTTATTTTTATATGTGATTTACGGACATAAACGACCCTCCTCTCCCCCTGTACAAATCAGATAGCCTCGTGTTTCGATGCTCTTTCTATTACTCAAGCTATTCAAAACGTCTATTTATATATTATATTATACATAATTGGTTAAATACTAAATAAATAAAGATTTATTTTTGTATGTGATTTACGGATATAAACGCCCCCCCCCCCTGTACAAATCAGATAGCCTCGTGTTACGATGCTCTTTCTATTACTAATTCTGCTTGCACTATGCAGCATTTATAATTAAGTCGCATAACTGAATTGTTAGTAGAAAATGTTTGCACAAGAATAGTGTATATGGCATACATTGATTGAGAGGTTCAGACTATTCCAATAAATATAGCTGATGTGTTTGGAACTAAAGGTAAAGCACTATTCATTTCAGTGATTTTATGTTTATCAGAGTATTGAATTGCGAAATAAAAATGTCTGATGTTTGCATATCAGAAATATCCCAATCTTTCCTATTTTCAGCGAGATAATAAAGCAGGCATAATAACTGTCTTGTTGTTCCCAAGAGTACTACAGGCCGTTAACTGATAATATATTGTATACTCTTCTGTCATGTTTTTTTGGTAGACAGAAATACTATTCAAAGGAAACGTCTATACTATCAATGTACTCGGAATACAAACGTTTTATCAAATCATATTGGGTGTAAGAAGTAAACGCATACATATCTTCCCTTTCCCTCTATCGCCCTTTTGTTATATTTTCCGTTCCTCAGAAAAGCCACAGTGTACAAAAAATGTGTGCGTAATTTTGATATCGATGTAGTTAAAATTGTTTGGGGTAATACTTGCTATAACCTTTTTGCCCTGGTTGATTTATTCCCTTATTCTACACACTTCAATTTACAGTTGTATAACACACTGCTTGCCATGTTATAATCTTAGATAGCGGTACAATATTCAGAAATGGTGAATGTAAAACACAAACACACACAGCTGTTGAAACAGAGATTAAATTAATTGATTACGATGAAGAGGTTAATTACCTGAAATAAGCAATCTGTTGTTCACATGATTTCATTTTATTTCAGTATATGTGATTTAAAAAGGAAAATACAAGGACATATTCGACACAGCATGATATTAGGGAAATACATTTCAATGTTTATATTTAATCAATTCTGTATAAAAGGTAACATTCCTGAGTTGAGAGAATATCTATGCTTTTATTTTGTTAAAGTCATGCCTGTGAATAAAGGTTAAACTTTAACGCAGTGTTCTTATACTAGTATTCTAAGTGCAAGGGTTATTTTGCTCTTAATCCTTCTCAAGGAAAAAAACGTTATGTTTGTAAAAAACCTTTTACGGATATGATGAATATCTATTTTGTCTGTTATAACCGTTATTGATTGTTCTATTCCTGATCTATTAAATGACATGGTTTTGATCTGAGCTTGACCTTTTGAGTCATACTGTGAACCTAAGCTTGACCCTTGAATGCTCTGTAAAATCTGTTTCACCATAATCAATATAGGGATACAATATTACAGTATGTTTCTTATTTTCTGTAATTAACATACCGTAGGACTTAATCTGATCATGAACGATTTTTATAATTAAAGATCTTGTTGATTGTGTAGTACAGTAAACTGTCTTTAGGACTAGGGGAAATATAACCAATTTGGTGATTTTCAGAGATGCATGTTTTCTTCATCGAAAAAGAAGTTGAACTGCAAGGTTTTGAAGAGAATTTTGTTAAGTGATCAAGTAAAAACAAAGTGTACAAATCAACGATCATTTTGTAATTGATGTTCATTGTAACACAAATCTTCCTTGAAAAATAATTATATTTATCATTCAATAATTGTTATACAGTCAAAAATGATATATGTATTATGTTAAACTCAGGGTGATCCCTCGGAAGCATTAATCACAACAAAATTACATGAAAATTGCAGACCGGTTGGTTTGAGTCTGTATATGAGGGATTATGAAAAACTGCAACATCCCTCACGCCCCCTAGCACCGGCTTGAGAGGTACTCAATGTTCAACATTTAAAAGTGCTGGAATCAAAGCGA